AAGTTTAGGTTCACTTTAAATGGAGTGCAAATATGAACTCATTGGTAAGAAGCTGAAGAGTGGCGCCTCTCACAGAATAAGTGGTGTGAAAGCAATTAGGGGCTCTTTAATACAGCCCGACCTACAGTTCATGGTGGAGGCGGGGGCCGCTTCGTTCCGGGATGGAAAAAGCCCTCCGCTCAAGCACTATCTCAGACACCAGGGCCACTCCAGACAGCAAACAAAGGCAATGACGGAAGAAAAGTGATAGGAAAGAGCCCTGTAACCCCAGAGAGGCCGCGAAGCGAGGCTGGGGCCCCCGCGGCGGCGAGTCAGGATGGTTTCTCGCGGATCGGCCGCTGGCTGCCCAACGAGGCCAAGATCCGCGCTATCTTGTCCTACCACGCCCAGAGTGCGAACACTCTGCCGCCTCCGGGACCGGCACTCCCTGGGCCCCAGGAAAGATCTTGAGACCATGTAACTCTCTTTGTCGGCTACTCCCTGCTCCGCGACGATCCTGCCCGACCACCTACACCGTGCTCTCGCGGCCTCCCGTGACCGACCGCTCCCAAGGCGCTCCCGAGGAAAGCCTAGGCCAGGGCTTCCTCCCTACCTCTCGCGAGTTCACCTCCCGCCCCCGAAAACGGCCCTCTGGTGGTGGCGCGACCCGCAAAGGCGCCGCTCCTGGCCAAGGCTTCCTGAAAATATTGACAAGGCGGCCGCCGTCTTCCCTTCTCGCTCCTCCCAGCGCGCCCCCCCCGGCTAGAGAAGAGCAAAGGCCCTCAGCCGGTTCGTCACGCTCCCCCCGAAGGACCCAGCGAAAGAGGCTCAATCCCGACTGCCCGCCTGAGCTCTCACAGCTCTCTCCCTCCCTCTTCGGTAAACAGCGACCGGATACAGGAGTCCAGCGGCACACTGGGCATCCAACCCCCTCTTCTCAACGCCAGTCGCCTCTCCATCCATCTTCGAAAGCGACAACCACTGCGCAACTGCGAAACAGGGAAGAGGAAAGGAGCCATGGCGGCCCTCTGCCTACCTGCCTGCGTGCGCCCGGCTTGGCTTTCTTAGGGCTGCCCCGGTCCGAGGCGGCGCTACACCCCACGAAGAGGTCTGAGCTGCAACCTAGGGTCAGAGACTGCTTCTGTGGCCGCCACTAGGTCTATGCCGCCGGCTCCTTACAGCCCCACGCGGTGGGCTCGCCTGCAGCTCTCACCGGCTTGAACAATAGGGCCCCAAACCGGGCAGGGAGAACCCTGGTGAGTAAGTGCTCTGTTGCTCCGCCGCCTTTCCTTATGTCCTCCCACCCACCGCCATCACGCTGCCACTCCGCTCAACCTCCTCCTCCCTTAGTTGGATGGAAACCCTGGGCGTGATGTCAGTCCTGCGCCCTGGGACAGAGTGGGGAGGAGGAGGAGCAACAGTCGGGAGGGGACAGCGCCGCCGGGACAATAGCAGCAGGAAGGGCTACTTGGAGGGCATGGCGGAGCCCAAGCGGCTTTCTAATTGCGCCGGATACTGCAGGGCCCGGAGGCAGCAAGTGCCCGCCTGCCCCGCCGCAGCAGTGAACGGCCGCTGAGGCCGGTGCCGCTCCTGGTGCCTGCTGCAGCTCCTGTGTGAGGGGGCAGGGCGCGGCGCGGCACGGTCCGGCCTGAGGGACGCCCATGACCCGCCCAGCGTGGCAAGCAACCTGGCCTAAGCCACACGTTACTGGTTAGTGTGGTGTGGTTTGTGGGGTTTTTTGTTTGTTTTAGGTTTGTCCTGTCTAAAATCAGAGCCCCCTAACAAACATATATGCATTTCTTAGTCTTCCTATGCCGTTACAGTTGGCATTAGGGCATATTTAGGAAGGCTTGGCATGCAGCTGCACAGAGAACACTTGCCTCCTTGAGGAAAGCATCCCCCAGCTGGAGGCAGAACACTCCTTTCTCTTGATATCTAACTCGAGTTGTTTTGAAGCGATCAATGAGAAAGATCTTTGTTTAAGGTGGCTCACGCTCAAAAAAAAAAGTAAATCGTCTTACTGCTGAAGTCTACATGTTCTCAGAGTGGCAAAAGAAAGTAGTGGCTGCTGATTGAAAGACTTCTGCTCTGAGCAACAGTGTGTTGGAAAGAGGAAGTAATTTATCTGCTTTGTCCTCTTTGTATTCCTACATATTGTGCTGGTTTTGGCTGGGGTAGAGTTAATTTTCTTCATAGTAGCTAGTATGAAGCTATGGTTTGGATTTGTTCTGAAAACAGTGTTCATAATTCAGGGATTTTTTTTTTTTAATTGCTGAGCAGTGCTTACACACAACCAAGGCCTTTTCTGCTTCTCACACCACCCCACCATTGAGTAGGCTGGGGGTGCACAAGAAGCTGGGAGGGGACACAGCCAGGACAGCTGACCCCAACTGACCAGAGGGCTATTCCATACCATATGACATCATGTTCAGCATATAAAGCTGAGGGAAGAAGAAGGAAGGGGAGGATGTTCGAATTTATGGCATCTGTCTTCCCCAAGTAACCGTTACGCATGATGGAGCCCTGCTTTCCTGGAGATGGCTGAACACCTGAACACCACTGAATTAATTCCTTGTTTTGCTTTGCTTGTGTGTGCAGCTTTTGCTTTACTTATTAAACTGTCCTTATCTTAACCCACAAGTTTTCTCACTTTTACTCTTCCAATTCTCTCCCCCATCCTGTCACCAAAATTGTTGGAAAAATAACACTGTAATTTCAGTATTAGAAAACAGGCATTACTTTATTTCGGCAACAGATGCATGGGAGATCACTCCTCCTGACATGCACACACCAACTATCAAAACTTTTAACTATTTATACATTTTAGCAAACAAAGGAGTTAGTGTTCATTGGCTACAAGTTATATAGTCCTCTTATTAATTAATATTCTATCTTCTATTGGTTAATGATCTCTCACTTCTCATGCTAATTAGTCTGTGTGCTCAGTCTTTCTCTTCTTTTGGGTCAGTGGGTTTCTTGGGTTGGTGGTCAGAGATCTCCCCCTGCCAGAATTACCTTTTACCCAGTCAGAGCTGATTTCACCACAATTGCTGAGTTGGCTTTATTAGTTTCTTCCTTATCTTGGGAGTTCTGCCAAATGTCCTTGTGGCCCAAAAGTTGTGCATTTCCTCCCAAGCTTTGCTAGCCTCCCTCCCAGGTCTGAGATCATTGAAGCATGTCAATCCCTAAATTTAATTTGTTTTTCTAACATATGGACATCACTTAGAGCTTGCTTGCTAGCTGCTAATCTGTTTCATAGATTAAATCTCCCTTCTTGTTGATTAGGCTTGAAAGTTTACAAAGATCAAACATCAAAGAACATCCTTTCTTAAGAAACAATTTGCAGCAATTAGGCCGAACCTTGTTTCATAACCCCTTTCTCATTCCCTGTAACTCTCTGAGCAAATTGTTAACTATTTTTGACTCTTGAGATGTCAGTGTCAGCAAGACTAAACACTATTTGTTACAATTAAAGATTTTCCCAACAATCCCACTATGGGGGGAGTAAGTGGCTGTGTGGTATTTAGTTGTTGTCTGGGCTTAAACCATGACACATATGCAATCACACTCCATCATGCGAGGAAGGATTGTGGGGTCGTTACTGACCAGGATGTGGTACTATACTTGGAATTTTCTTCAGCACCTTGCAAGAGTAAAAGAGGTTAACGTGAATAGACAATTTGCTCATGAAGGAAGGAAGGGCTTGAGAGTCATTCTATGTATATGCCAGAGCAAGGTGGCTACAATAACTGTCAAATCAGTTCATACCTGAAGATTTGTGTTGGCCAGGAGCCAGCATCTGAGTCACAGTCAGTCAGAGATGTTGGCCTAGGGTTTATCTCATAGCTGCTCCCCCTAGGGTGAGCAAAGCTGTGCAGCCAAGACACCTGCCAACCCCTCAGCAGGGCTGCAGGGGTTTCCTGTTGCTGCTTCTTCAGCCCACCAACTGTTGGGATCAGCTGTTATACACAGCAATTCTATCTCCTTTTTGGAACCAGAGTGCAACAGCAGAGGCTAGGTGAGGCATTTCCACTAGTCCATCTCAAGCACCATATGAAAATACCTGTTAAAAACAGAATAAACTTTTTTTTCACCCTTAGAAATAATAATTAAAAAAAAAAGCATAAGAAGGTGTTTAGACAAGAAAACAGCTTCAAAACCTATAAAAAAGCTGTATTAGACTATGTTCCTTCCTGAGGCACTTAAGTTCACTGAAGTCAGCTTAAGGGATAATATTTCATGTGGTGATAGACAATGACACCACAAGATCAATGGAATTTAAACTCAAGAATGTCAGAATGAAAGTGCTTTAAATTAAATTCAAATTTTAAATTTTAATTTAAATGAAGGTAATTAACACTGAAACACTTTATCAAGGTGTACTGGGTATGACTGTGATGGAGTTAATTTTCTTTGTAGCAACCCGCATGGCACTGTTTCAGATTTGCGATTAAACCAATGTTGATAACACTGTTGTGGCTATTGCTGAAGGATGCTTACACAAACATCCAGACTTTCTCTTTTTCCCACTCTGCCCCCACAGCAAGTAGTCTGGGGATGGGCATGAAGGCTGGGAGGGAACACAACATGGACAGGTGACCTGAATCGGCCAAAGGAATAATCCATGCCATACAATGTCATGTTCAGCAATTAAAACTGAGAGGAGAGGGTTTTGGGTGACAGCCATTGCTCAAGGACTGGTTGGACATCAATCTATTTGAGGGATGTGGTGTTTGTCTTTGCATTAATTGTGGTTTTGTTTTCTTTAATTTTCTTCTTTCCTTTACTTTATAAAGTATCTTTGTCTTGACCCACAGTTTTTTTGGTCTTCCGATTCTCTTACCTGCCCTGCTTGTGTGGGGGTTGGGTTGAGTGAGTGGCTGTGTGGTTGTCCTAGTTTCAGGGGCTGGGACCAGTTTATCACTATGTGGGTGTAACATAAACGGTGTATTCTACACCCTCTATGTCATTTCTGATGGACTGTTAATAATGGATCATTTGCAGCAGCTGCCTAGGAACACCTGACACCTCTGACTACAAGCTGGGTGTTAAAGAACTCTGAGAGGAGTGTTTCTTTGTCTTCACACTGAATACTCAGCTGTGATAACTCCCCTCTGGGGAGGCATTAGCACCTTCATGCCCAGCCTGAGGGGTCATCTCTGCTAATGGGCCATACTGGACTGGCATAATAGGAAGCTGCAAGGACCTAGACCATCAAAGACTCCAAAAATATCCCTTGTCTCAACAGAGGTAAATCACCCATTGTGGAACTCCCCGCCCTGGGGGAGGTACTGGACATTCCCACCTGAACCTGAGCATATATAATCTTGGGATTTGTGGACTTCTGGTACCACTTGTTGGATCCAGAGGAGGACCAGAACTTCAACTGGCCTGTGACTGTCACTCTCGAAAAAACTGCAATCATTGCTTCAACAGAACTGCGACCATCATCTGGACCAACAGGTTTTCCTTTCCTTTTATTTTGCACCCAGGGGGGCCACGTGGTGCTCAGCACAGGGGCTAACGAACACTGTTCTGTTCTTGTCCCAGAGTGCTGGGTTATACATTTTTTTTGTGAGTTAAAGCCAGTTTTTCTCTGTATCATTACATTTATTGTATGGGAGCCCCCGGTGGTCTAGGGGAAAAGACACTGCACTGTCACTGCAGAGACCCGGGTTCGATTCCCGGTCGGGGCCCCTCCCCGGGCAGATGGAGCTCGTTAGCCCATAAGGCAATCCATCTACGTCCTGAGGACCTCGCTGCCACCGTCCAAGCTCGCTTGGCCCCGGCAGATGAACCTCAGGA